ATCCATTCTGTTAGCCTGTGTCTTTTTATAGGTGATTGAAGACCAAAATTTTGAGGGAAAGAAAGGACCATTGATTCTTAATTCTTGTTTGTTGTTGGCAGTGGTTTTGTGAGTATATTTGCCTTTCTATTTCTTTTGGGTTCCGGTGAAGTTTGATTAATATTGCCCATGTCTTTGTGAGTATAGTTAACTTCCTTGGATTGGAGTTTTCCTTACAGAACTTTCTGTAGGGCTGGATTTGAGAATATGTATTGTGAAACTCTGGCTTTGTCACTGAATATCATGTTTTCTCTATCTATAGTGATTGAGAGTTTTTTCTGTTATAGTGGCCTGGGCTGGCATCTGTGGACTCTTAGTAGAACATCTATCCAGGACCTTCTGGCCTTGAGAGTTTCCATGGAGAAGTCATGTGTAATTATGAAAGGTCTGCCTTTATGTTATCTGGCCTTTTTCCTTCGCTGCTCTTAATATTTTCTTTATTCTGTATGTTAGGTGTTTTGATTATTTTGTAGCAAGGGGATTTTTATTTTGATCAATTCTATTTGGTGTTTGGTATGCTTTTGTACTTTCATAAGCATGTCCATCTTCAGATTGGGAAACTTTTCTTCAATGATTTTGTTGACTATGTTTTCTGCATCTTTGAGTTGGGCTTCTTCACCTTCTTTTATGCCTATTATTCCTAAGTTTGGCCTTTTCACAGTGTCCCACATCTCCTGGATGGTTTGTGTTAAGGATGAGTTAGATTTAAGATTTTCTTTGTTCAATTAATCTATTTTCTGTAGTTTATCTTCAGCACCTGAAATTCTCTGTTCAATGTCCTGTATTCTGTTGGTTATGCTTGCATCTGTAGTTTCTGATTGTTTACCAAGTTTTTCTATTTTCAGCATTCCCTCAATTTGTGTGTGTGTGTTTTTTTTTTTTTTTTTTTTTTTTTTTTTGCCTTTATGACAGTTTTCAGGTTTTGCACTGTTTAGATTGTTTTTTCATCTGTTTGTTTTTTCTTGGCTTCCTTTACTTTCTTTAAGAGATTTGTTCATTTCTTTCATTTTATGCTTGGTCTTTTCTTCCATTTCTTCCAATTTTGTGTTTCTTTGTTTGTTTGTTTTCTCCCAATTATGTAAGGGATTTTCTTATATTGTCTTTGAGGGCCTTTATCATTTTTATGAAGTTAATTTTTAAGTCATTCTCTTCTGCTTCATCTGCTTTTGTGTGTTCTCTATATTCTAGTGGAATCATGCTTGTCTTTCTACTGTTGGGTGTTTTCTTGTATTGCTGTCTTCCCATCACTTTTGCCAATGGGTGCAGGTGGTCTCTCTCTCTCTCTCTCTCTCTCTCTCTCTCTCTCTCTGTGTGTGTGTGTGTGTGTGTCTGTCTACCCTACTCTCCTGGTAGAAGTAGGTGGGTCAGCATTTCGATGTCTGTAACTCTAGATGATCCACACTCTCTTGTAGGTCCTTCCTTCAGCATTGGGCCGGTGATCGATCTAAAGATCAGTCAGGTATGGCCTCAAGGTTATCCCGCATGGATAGGCAGGATCAGTGTACTCAGACCAGATGCAGGATGTTCCATGGAGTTGGAGGGGTTTTAGACCCACTTTCTGGTCCACTGTTCACCCAGAGCAGCAGAGCACTGGGCCTATAATAGGTTCCTCTTTTGTTATCTTGCTTTTTACTTTAGTCCTATTCTTAAATCTGGCTACTCAAAATTTCAGGATTTCAAATGTATTGAAATACTAATTTTCTCACTTCAGGTTTCTCTTTACTTTTACCCAGTCACTGCACACTTATGTTCCCCAATGCTTACCCATGTACCACTGCTCAGATCAAGGAGATTCCTGTGTTAATTATTTTGCATAAATCTCTTCTGCATTTTTATTTCTTTGAAAAAAATTCTACTCTCCCATGAAAGCTGTATAAAAGTCCATGGAGTTCCTTGACTTTTAGGCTAAAAATCTGGCTTCACAGACAGCGTGTGTGTCACTGGCCCCACCTCATTACCAATTTCTTACCATGTGAGTCCCTCCTGTATGAGTTTGCTGTGACAGTACATTGAATTCTTGCTTAGACACCAAAAAGAAAAAACTCAGCAGCAATTGTCTATTTTCTTCTTCTTCTTTAAAACCTTTTCAGTAACAGGTTTCGTTATATCATGATTGAAACTTGCTTTCTCTTAGTTTCTGAGACTAAAAATTAGTGTTGAGATTAAACATATACTACAGTTCTTGTTTTTGAATAGTTTTCCCTGTTACATTTTAAAGAGTTTTTTTTTACTGTTCAATGTAAACACCAAATACCATATTTATGTTGTTTTGTATTATACTAATTCTGTCTATATCTGTATGTTGTTTATATCAAATAGGTACTGTCAGCAACTTGACTAATATTTCCTACAAGCAAACAATAAAACCTGAAAACCTAAACCAAAAACAAACAGCGTAGATGACTACCAGTATCATAAAATTATCAAGTGTTTGGGGCATTTGCCTGACAAAGTTTGGTTTGCTTAAAAATGTGGACAGTACATTTAAAGATAAGTTTTACTCTTTTTATATGACATATGCTCTGTCTACTTCATGTTCTTGAACAACAAACCCATCAAATACCACATTACCACTGAATAAGGCCTAAGAAGACAGACACATGCTTTTCAAATAGTTTTGTTTCCAGCCTTCACTCCATATCCAATGTTAAACATAGTGAATGATTATTATTGTATCTGAAAGAAAACCCAGAGGCCATCTATTTCAACTTATTTTGGATATTTCTCATTTTGACTCAATAAATAATGAAACCAGAACACCACAGCCTATGCAAATGTTGGGATCTATCTTTGAAAACTACCTTACTTATATTACTAAAATTTTCTGTAACTTTCCCTTTTTTAAGAAGAGAAATGAATGTCTTACTATATCAAGACAATATATTAGTTAATTGGTTGCTGAATAATTGTGGGAATTCTGTTTGCTCAAATGTCACACCTCATGGAAAACCATTCACAATATGTTTTGATGCCTATTTTTTGAGATTTTTCGTCACAACAGTGTATGGTAATATATACCTATTTTTCATCAGAGACATATTTATTTGAGGAAATAATTATAGCATAATATATATGAAATTTCTGGAAATTTACAAATGATACTAAAGAGAAAAGGTCATTGCCTTAACCTCACTATGATATTCTACCCAAAATAACATACGAAGTTTCTGTTTTGGGGAGCAATGCCTATAACACCTAATTTTGTGAGATTCAATTCATCCACCTAAAATGTGTGCTGTAAGGTTGAAAAAATAAAACTCCTTAGTTTGCAAATTTGTATTGTCAACAAGGGAATGAAAATGAAACACCTAGGCTAAGTATCTACATAAAACGTCCAGGTTTGTCTAGTTAACTGAATGCCTGTAGAAGTCAGACAGGCAAGGAAAGCATTCTGCAAAATATAAATATGAAAATTCCATTATGATTCCATTATGACTTCTCATAACAACAAATTGTAGATGATCAAACTATACAAAAAATGCTGAGGCCTGGAGGGGAGAGAGTGGGAGGAACAGAGTTGGAGTTGAGTTAGTGAAATCATTATGACAGAAGCTATTTCTGTTCCTATCATCACCTCTGTCACCATATATCAAGGCTTGGAAAATTACCTACCAGTTTCCTAGCAGACCCAATCATTTCCTTAGCTAACTTATTGTGCAAACACCAGCAAGTCCAAGCTCTTCCTATGTCATCCACAATCTTGCTGAATAATAACCATCATGCTAAGAGACCTAGGAGATGTAATCTATATTTCCTACATTGAAGTATGTCAGCCTTATCTCCAATTGTTCAGTTTCTCTAACTTTCCCTTCAACTAAACTCTTTAAGAACAATGCCTCTCTCATTAATTTGGTAATTTGTTTTTATTTGTTCCAGCAAAGACTTAATGTGGCTCATTTGGCAATTAATCATGGACTGTAGTATGTAATCCTTATGGCATCTGTTCTGCTTTTGGTCAAACTTTTATTAATACTTCCCTTTCTTTTGTATACTTTGTAGATTTTTCATCATTTGCTTTCACCAATAGACAATAAGGGCCATTACAAATAGGCCACACTTTAACCTTCTAGCCATAACCACATCGCTGGCTTGTGAATATGACTTTACTTCAATTTTATCCCCCAGAAAAGATAGATGCAAAATTCTGACAAGCATATTCCTTCCTAATTGTGGTAATAAACTGTTTTCTATGAAAGGGTAACAACAAAAATACACAAGATCTTAGCAATTCTGCCTTGTACCTTACACAACCCCCCTTTAAGACTGAAGGGAATTTTTTTGTGATTCTAGGAGGCTGTCAAATGTTCTCAGGGACTGACGATGATGCATCCTTTGCCCAAAGCTCATGCTCTTTCCAGGATGGTTCTTATCCACTAGCTGATCTATCCAGGTCAGAAGTATCAGCTACACCACTCTCACTGTGACAGTTCTAAAAGCCACCTCAGCTTAGAGTGACTCCAGTACATAGCTCATCCCACATTTGACATTCCTGTTGTTTCTTTGTCCAGTTGCCAGAACTTGCTATTTCCTTTTCTGCTGCAAAAGTCCTGCCATGAATGTTCATTTCACCAAAAACATGAAATAAGCACAAAGTGCATCATCTTTCTTTTTTCTCATTTACCCAGCAGAATCTATTAATTCTGTATGAGAGTTAAAATTAATTATTTTAAGGCCAGTTTGATGACTTAGAAGGCAAAGCTGTGACAATCAGAATTCATCTCCCAGGACCACATGATGAAAGGAAATATCTAACTCCTTCAAATTGTTCATTGACCTACACATGCTCACTTCATCTATTGTCATCTGACTATTCTATGATCCCTGTCTATTTCAATGTTAAAAGTAAATTTAACAACAAACGCCTATGTGAATCCAGTGCTGCATTTTCAGTTATCATTAAATCAGTTAGCATTAAATCATGTTTAAAAGTATATGAGAAAAAAGAAGGCATTCATTTTTTCCCTCCTGCCTAAGGATCTCCTGCAGAGAGCTGCAACAATGCCCAAAAGAAAGGCTGCAGGTGATGCAAGTCAGGAGCCAAAGAGATCAGCCCCACTGCTATGCCTGTGCCCTTTACACCAGAGGTGAAACCTAAGAGAACATCAACTCCAAGGAAACTGAAGACCACAAATGTTGTAGTGGAAGAAAACAAAGATGTGGGTGCCATAACAATTCCTGAAACCAAGCGAAGATGTTAAAGAAGAGGGCAATGTGGAAAATGTTGAAAATGGAGAAGCCAAGATTATTGAGGCACCCATTCCTAAAATGGAAACTGAGGAAATAAAGGAACAGAGGAATGAAGATGCCAAAGACGGAGGAGAAAAGAAAGAAGCTGTGGCCGCAGAAGGAAAAGATGAACCGGAAGAAAATGTCCAAAATATAGAGAAAGATGAAGATGGGAAAGTGGATAAAGATAAAGGTGAGGAGGTAAAAGATGGAAATAGGGAAGAAATCCTAGAAGAGAAGACAGATTCAGCAGAAAGTGAGAATGTAAAAGAGTACAAAGATGATGAAGAGAAAGAGGGTGATGGAAAAGAAGATGACAAAGTGCAAGGAGATGGGAAGAAGGAAGAAGAGAAAGATGACAAGGAAGAGAAAGCTGAAGTGGAAGAAGAAGTAAAAGAACAGAAAGAGGAAAAAGAAGACGAAGCTGGAAAATGCGAAGAAGAGGAAAATGAGGAAGATGGAAAGGAAGGCCAGAGTGAGGAAGATGGAAAGGAGAAAGATGTTGGAAAAGATGAAGATAGAAAGGAGGAAGAAGGAAAAGAAAAAAGAGGTTGCAGGGGAAGGAAATGATGAAAACAAGGTGGAAGCTGAAAATAAAGATTTCAAACAAGATGGAGAAAAGGAGTCTCTGAGTGTTGTCTAAAACTGCCCTATATGATATCATAATTTGGTAACATGTACCTTCCTGTTGTAATGTTAATAGAGATAAATAATTTTATCAGATATTATATAAACAGTGCTTTTCTTTAGCATCATTCAATCTTGGACCATCATCATACAGGTTATTAGTTGCAAAATACCTAACATGACATCTTTATACATTTTGTGATTATAGTAGTGCAAAATATAAAATGTATACTTACAACTTTGTGAATTTCACCGTGTGTAAATTATATATTAAATATTTGAGTTTCAATTTTATTCTTATATGTGATAATTTTGCAAAGTAGGAGAAATCCAAAAGAAAGAGTTTGGTACAACTTTGCTGTAGTTCTCTCTAGGTTGCTTTTTATAAAGAAGGTCAACTATTTTCAGGTAATGTTAAGAATTAGAATTGACATTGCCAAATCTAACTGTATTAGTAGCTTCAAAAGAACATAAAAATCTTAATTTCATTTTTGAAGAAATTTGAATGTTTATTTCAGGAGGGCAGTTTTGATTATATGTGTATGCACAAAGTTTTGCTGGATTTAACATAATTAAACAGCTCCACAAAGATGAAAAAAAAGAAGAAGAAACAAGAGTGCCTGGTTACCGAGGCTAAATATGTAATTAGAATCATAATAAAGTTCTTTAGGCCAAACTTGAGATAATTGTGTTTGGTAGGTTAAAAAAAAAAGTAGAAGAAACCCTGAAGGAGGAGAGGAGAATACAGACCTGAAGGAGAATATAAACCTGAAAAGAATCATAGACCAGAGGCTTAGAACAGAACCAAACAAGACTTGAAAAAAAGTCAGTAAAATAATTCCTAATGATATTCTGCTTTACTCATAGATTCGTGCCTAGCACAGTTGGCTTCATCACAGAGGCTTCATACAGTGACTAACCAATGGAAGCAGATGCAGAGACAAACAGCCAAATATTAGAAAGAGATTGGGTAATGCTGTGGAAGAGGGGCAGGAAGGATTGGGAGAGTCAGAAGGAACAAGGACACCACAAGAAAACACACAGAATCAACCAAGTGTGGATGGAATTAGTCTTACATCAACTTGATTGCCATGGTTGGCTGATATACACATCTGCCATTTGCAGAAAAGAAAGAAGGAGTAGATGGGGAGAGATGTTTGGGAAAAGGAGTAAGTGGGAGGAGAGAAGAGGGAGGAGAGGGAGAAGAGGAGAGAAACTATAATAAGACTGGAAAAAATTAATTAAATAAACACACACACACACACACACACACACACACACACACACAAAGAACTCTTAACATGAGCCAGACCAGTTTGAGACATGTATTCTTATCATGACCTATTTCAAAGCAATGAGCATCTAGTAACCACTGAGAGCATCCCTCCCCCTTACTCATCTCCGAGGTAAGAGAACTTCTCACTCTATTATCCAGCCATAATCCCATGTAAGATATTCCCCAGATCATGCCTAATGAAAAGGAGTAGTATTGAGTACCAACATTATGACTGTCTCTGTCCTGCCTGTGGGTACAATATTAGCAACAGCCCCAAGCTCCTGCTGCTGACTATCCCACCAGCTAGGAGCCAAAGGAGCCCCTTTGTCCCTTTGATTCTGTAAGTCATTTTGTCACTTCAGTAGGTAATGGAAACACTTGCATGATTGCTGCTCTTGTCCTCAGACTTCAATATGCCGTGTCCACTGCAGGCTGAACAATATTCCCACAGAACTAATCCAGATGTCTCATAAGAAGGAACAACATTTTCAGTCTTTTAGATGAGCTATGAAGATTTACACAACTCTTGATGATATCTCCAGCCTCCGTGTATTGCTCCAATCTTGTTTCCCTCTGCAGAAATCACTTTAGTCCCTGTCTAGGCATTTGGAACTTCCTAAAATTCTTAGTGTGACCACTCTTCAAGCTTGTACATACATGTCTTTCTGTATTTAGATTAGTTCGTTTGTTTTTCACTCCTATTTTTCTTATAAATGCCTTGATCAATATTATACTTGTCTCATGTTTTCTATTAGCCAATGAATTTCATCTATTCATACACTAAAAACTCTTATAAATTTTAATTAAATATGAACATACAGAGGAAAGTCCACGAGGCCTCAACCCTACAACAAGAAGAGCAGGCTATTAAGGAGTACCCATTGTGGGAGAAATAGTCTTCCTCAATGAGGAGTACAGGAATTGGTTATCCTGTGCCAAATACTCAGCCGTAAAAATGTATATATATATATATATATATATATATATATATATATATATATGTGTGTGTGTGTGTGTATGTATGTATGTATGTATGTATGTATATATATACATATATATACATATGTATAATGAAGATTATTCAGACTGTGTAAGTTGTATTTATACATTTAGCAATGTATATCCATACACATATACATATATGTATATAACTTTAATGAAACAAAAAGCTATTAATTTGGAAGAGAGCGAAGAAGGATATATGAGAGGTATTACAGGGAAGAAAGAGAGAAGGAATATGATGCAATCATATTCTAATCTCAAAAAACAGCAAAAATAATTAAAATTAAAATATTGCAGCTGGATAAAACAAAAGATAAGTGATTATTTCCAATTTCCTTAGTGACACAGGCATGACAATGTTAGTAGGTCTTTTTCCCTTCATGATTATCTTTTCTTTCTGACCTTTATTTTTCTTCACTTTATCTCCTCCTAAATTGTGTTTGAGCTGAAATTATTTATATTTGCCTATCTGCTTACCAACTCTTTGTTCATTGCTGACATTGCCTTATTTTTTATTCTAGTTTCAAAATCTTTTTGGAAATATGATTTAATAGTTCATCGAGCATCTGTACATAGAGCTTCTCAATCTATGCAGTCTATGACCCCCCAAAAAATCTTTATGTCAGTATGTTTTCCTTTTTCTTTCTTCTGTGTGTCTGCTCGTTCATTTGGAGATCAAAGGTCAAACTCAGACATTACTCAAGAGCTGTTCACCTTATTTGCTAAGACTGACTCATCCATGAGCTTGTGTGTCCATGCAGATTCAACTCAGGGGAATATTCAAATTCTCCAGAACACTATCATGTCAGCTAGCTGAGCATAGGACATAGTAGTCCAATTAAGGCCCTTTGCTTACAAAACAAATACTTTCCTGGCTAAGCCATCATCCTGGCTCAATCCTCAGTTTTCTTCATGAATTTAGCAACTCTACTATAACAATTGTTTCTACTTGACTCAGCACATTTGTTTCCTGTTTTTAAAAAAGAAAGTACATCCTGGATTTTAATTTTATGTTTCTACCTCCAGGTTTGTTACCAGATCCCAGAATTTCATTATTGAGGTAATTTACTTTAAATTTATTATTTTATTCTCTTTGTGTTTCATATTTCAGAAATAATTTTAAAATATTCTGTCTCTTCTTATTTAAAAATTATTCATCTTTCTTGTGTCCAGAATGCAAATGTTTATGTTACCTTGGTCCAACATGTAACTAAAGCTATCCAGATATGCTTCCTGACTAGAAACCACAGTCACTAAGTCCTGGGCATCGGACACCATCTGCATGTCCACGGTTCTATGAGATCCCTCTATTTTTTGCATTATACTATTTTCATCTCTTCATTTTTGTATACACTTTTGTTTATGAACTGAGATTGGGTTATGTAACTTGCATGGTAATTTGTGTATGGTAAGGGGGTACATCGTGAACTGTAGATTCTGTTTGTTGGATGGCTGGGTGACTCAATACAAATGTGAATTTCTTCCATCATAAAGGACAGGAATATTGAAGATTCAAGCAAGGTTATACATGTTTAATAACATATACAGTGGTTAGTAATTAATGTAACATGTGCTGTTAAAAAATGCAAAGGAAAGATAGCCCATCTTAATTTAAATTTAAATATGGCCAAATTAAAAACTATGGGGTTTCATTTAAAAATTAAAATTAGAACTGCTAATTCCATAAATCTTAAAATTAGTTTCATGAAAATCTATTTTAGTGTTTAAATAAATACCTAGTTCAAGAGTCAAAAGAATAATTTTCATTTAATTATAACTTGTGTAACTTTCTGTTTTACTAATTTATTGATTTTGACTGGTTTGGGAAAGCATTCTCAATTCTTTATTGCCAAAATTCTCATGTTTTATAGATTACAGTCATGCTTGAGGATTAGTTAGATATTATCAATTATTTATGTCGCCAAAAATTAAGAAATTGTGCTACAATATTTCTTGTCTTTTATGTTCAAGTACAAAGGGGCCATTTTATTTAAGATAAGCAATCAAGGGATGCTGGTTGAGTAATTTCAGTTAACACCACACCTTCTGGCTATTTATCATGTACCTGGAATTCTGGCTCTACTACCTTGCAGTTTGCAACTTTTGACATATGCTCATATTTAAATAAGAGCTAACTAATAATTTATAGTCTGCATTGCATTAGTTGTTAAGACAGACTTCTCACATTAATCTGTTAAAGACTTCTTATTTCTGGCATGCCATCTACATAGCATTCTTATTAACATTTGTATACTCTAGATACAAAAGATATAAACACAGGAACAACAGAGCAGTGTGGCAGCAATCCACAATAGCACTGAGGATGACCTAAATTAACAGAGAGAAACAAACCCTTATTTTTGATTCGGCTTCCCCAGATATTTTAAAACTCTTCATTTCTCAGGGTCTCTGTGTGTTAAGAATATATTTCCTAATGCAAGATAAAGAATTAGACTTTATTAGATTTGTGCAAACAAACTAATAGGATTTATTAAATTATATTACATAATCATGTTTTTTTTTCTTTTAAAATTAAGAAGCATGAGGTACTCTAGAAAAAGATGCTCTTTCTGAGGAAAATAATCCAGATTCTACTAATGCAGAACATAGAGTAAAAATACGCTTGAGTAGAAAAGAACACTAAATGAGGAGGAATTTTTAAATT